TTTTAGCGGGGGGTAGTATACACACTTGTTTAGTGTCTTTTAGCGTGCTCGGGCACTAGTGCAAATTAATTTCAGCTGGTCTGTTTTTTGTTGATCCTCCCTCTATCTCTCTTTTTTTTCCCCCCTCTCTTTCGTCCCGGACAAAAGATGTGTTGACCAATTTGCAAAAGGACTTTTGTTTCGCTCGTCTGCTGCCCCGTGGCCCGAATGCAACACTCTGTAGAGCGGCAAAATGACGGGCCAAGATGGCGGCGGAGCCTTCAAACATCTGAGCAGGTCCAAGAGTGAAAATAAGATGGTTGTGGATGAGAATAGTACTTAGCCTCGCTAGCTTCAGCTATTCCAATCACCATTCCTGCAGCTTAAGGCAAGTGACATGTAACATGTTTTAAGGCTTTTGAATTCCAGTTTAAATTAAATTCAAGAAAAATTTCCCCAATGTCCCCCGTTGTCCAAAATTGTCTGTTTTTAAGCGTCACAACTAAAAGCACATCTCTGTTTTGTTGGTTGCGCAATATTACCGCTAAAGTCTTTCAGTCACGTATTTTCTTCAGAATGTTTAATTTATTTTGAGATTTGAGACTATTTACAATCCTAAAATCTATTTGTCTATATTTTTTAAGACTTTTGAAAGATTGATTTAACACCCCCTGGAGGACCGGTGGTGAGTGGTTAGTGCGTTGACCTCACAGTGCAGAGGTAACGGGTTCGATTCCAGCTCCGGCCTTCCTGTGTGGGGTTTGCCTGTTCTCCACGTGCCTGCGTGGGTTTTCTCCGGGTACTCCGGTTTTCTCCCACATTCCCAAAACATGCATGGCAGGCTGATTGGACGCTCAAAAAAAATGGATGGATGGACCTTGTTTTTCATATTCATGCATTCAATGCCTTCCAAGACTTTTTAAAGGCGAGGTCAAGTCAAATATGTTCTCCACAATATATTCTAAACAGTTTTCTGATTAGATTGTGTTTGTGGAATAGGAGTTAAGAAGAAAAATCCACCCATTTTGGGGGCAGCCATTTTGGCGCTTGCTGTCGGCTGAAAATGACATCACAGTGCCTCAGGGGCTGTGATGTCATTTTCAGTCGACAGCAAGTGGCAAAATGGCCACCCCCTGAGATGGATAAAACCATATGTATTTTGCTGCTTAATTTACATTCCACAAACGCAATATTCATCAGAACAGTACCATGCGTTGGATCAGTCAAGGTCTACTGACTATGGGGATGGCTGTTTTTTTTTTGAGCAAATAGCTCTCCATCCATTTTGTAACACATAGGGTCACAGGTGAGCTGAAGCCTATCCCACTTGACTTTACGTAAACTCTGGACGAATGGAATTTCTACCTCTGGGCAATTTAGAGTCGTCAATGAACTTAACATGCATGTTTTCAGCAGTGTGGGAGGAAGCTGGAGTACGTGGTGTAAACCTACGCAATCAAGGGGAGAGATGATCTTGACTGGAGACCTGGCACATACTTCAGCAAGAAGTGGTGCCCCCCCCCCCCAACACCCCACAAAAAATTCACCAAAAAAGGGGGGCAAGGAAAATTCAAGTTTAAGAAAGGCCGGGGAGTGATTTGAAGGCAATTGCGTACCAAGCCCAGAATGACTGAATGTCGTCATGAAAGCAAAACATTTGTTTTAGTGGAACATTTATGCAACCATCTAATTGTACGCGCACTTTGGAAAAGGTTTTGAAATCTTTTTTTAATTCTTCTGTCCATGGTACTTTATCAAGGCCGTGTTGACTTTCTATAAACATGACGAAGTTTCCCATTGTGTCTCCCGCTCCACTTGCCTCAATGCGTGTGTTAGCTTATGAATGCTGCAGGGTCAAAAGTAAATCGTTCAGCCGCTTTCTCCTCTGCTCTCTGCTGCATTCTCCCACTTTGTCTTCCTCAGCCTCCCCTTCCTCCTCCTCCTCCTCGTCTTCATCATCTTCTCTGTTCCGGCTCTCCGTGGGCTGCAATGAACAAGATCGCCAAGATAATCATCTACTACTCATGGACACAAATCGGAAGATACCAATCTTCCAATTTGTGTCCACATAATGCAGGAATGCACTTACACGGGGGCTGGCGCTGAGCGAGCGGGTGGTGTCGTCGCAGCCCGGGTGAGGGTCACTGCTGGAAATCGTCACTTCCGCCACCCCCACTGGTACATCTGGAAAGAGAATAGACAGAAGTTGTACAGTTTTTTTTTTAGTCACGGTGATCCAAGAAAGAAGCGAATTGGGATGGGAAGGATGCTCACTGGACACATTCGGCACACTTCGGAGAAGAATAAGTTTCGCTTGACACTCTCAGAGATGTGTTCGTTTAACAATGTTGATTCGTGCGGTTGTCGTTTGTGGTGCTGTATCGCTGCACTACATCATACAGATAGGGGTTTCGAATGATTGATTTCAATTTCGAGGGGAGTTTAAGGATCAGTGACAGGTGATCGTTAATAAAGCGCCGGGCGAATTATTGGAGGATCGGGTCTATTAGGCAGAGGACGCGAGGTGAGCAAATTGGGCATTTTCTCAAATTGTCCTTTGAGTCACAACAGAAGTGTCCCAGCTCACCCTCCCACCCCCGCCTAAGAATCACAAATGGTACGGTGCTGTCCATTCGTTTTTCTATCTACAGTAGTACTCCCGCATTGGGGAAGCCGTAGCTTATCCAAGCTGACTTTTGCGCGACAGGTGTGGCACAAATCCTCAATTAACCAAACAAACATGCATGCATGGTTTTGGAATGTGGGAAGAACCTGAACCTGTAAGAACTATGAGGCAGATAGTCTAACAGCGACTTCACCATGTTCCCCACGCATCCAGATTCATCAGATCCAGGGACGCGCCGACTTGTTTGTCTCTTGCCACCTTTTCTCGTTCCACCTCGGAGACAACTTGCACAAAGCGCTCAAAATGAAGTGTGAAATTAACCCTTTCATGCACCCTGTAACCCGATAACATGAGAAGCTGTCCACTGTAGTGACCGCTGTCCCTGAAAGGGTTAAAACACTAGAGACTCACTTCTCCTGCCCTGGCAAAGCCCCACTTCTTCTTTATTATTTTTTTTATGGCCCAAAAACAAACAAAACAAAATTAAGACAGTGTCAAGTGTGGAAATACACAATGACAGAGAGCAAAGTCTCACTTCTTTGGATTCTGTGTGAAAGTCGTAGGCTGATCCGTGGTGGCTCTACTGTCAGAAACCGCCGGTTGGGCTTTCCCAAAACTGCTCACCAAAGAGGCGTCAGGGTTCAAACAACCGTATTTGGGAACCGATGGAAGGGTCTCCAAGGAAGCTAACAATTGCTTTGCATGCAACACAGCTGAAGAAGCGCATGTCAAATGTCACACACCCGTTTCGGCATTCCCTGACACACAGGCGCCAATTCCTGTAGATGTCATCCTGCCTCTGAAATCAGAAAACTGCCAATCCCCATTCCGGGTCAGTGTCGGAGTGGTGGAAAATGGCACTCAAAGGCAGTGCTTTTGAAACAATGCAGTTCTTGTTGTCGATCTCATTCTATTGTGGTGGTGGACCCACACTTGTGGTCCTTATTTGCTCTTGATTACAATCAGTCAGGGAGACTTTGATCAAAAGAAAAAAGAAAAAAAGAGGGGGGAGGGGCTCCCTGCTCGCTTCTTGGACACCAAAAAGTGGATGGCAGAGATGGGGAAAGTTTTCTGCGCGCTTAAGCATTCTGTGGTCGGAAAAGCACTTTAGTTTGCGCTGCAGAAAACCAACAATGAGAATGGTGGGCTGTGAGAGCGGCACGCAAGCATGCTTGTAAAGGAAAAGACACAGGACATCCACATCACCAGAACTCTTTTTTATACAGATAGTTCCAGTCAAAAGTTTGGATGCGCTTTGCCACGAATAGCATGGCGAAGTGTCCAAATCCTAAACCGGTCGTGCGTACAACCGCCATCATCATGATGGATGTCGTGCGAGACCGATATGATTTTTCTGGTGTCAACACAGAAGGATAATCGTGATGCTCAGAGGGAAACGTGATGCTAATCGTGTAACCGACAATGTAACGGTGATTAAATGTAGTGATGAAAATGGTACATGCGATTAACCTCGTTTCACACTTGCACGACAGTTAAAAATCACGATGCAAGCCGACCGCCTTCAAGAAGACGACCCCGCTTCATTTGCAAACGGTGAGTAGTTTTATTTGCTTTTACTTCTATCGAGTGAATTTTACGGACGGGCAATCAAAGCGCAGTCACTGTTGGCATATCGTGACTTGTTTGCTAAATTTAGCAATTTTTCCAACCGCTTCAACTTGAAACTTAAATTCCCACAAAAAAATGGACATAATTGTTTTCACGTTGCTTTGCATAAGACAAGGAAGGAGCCCAGTGGAAGTGAATCACGCCAAACAAAAACGGTGAATTAGCACGTGGACCGGCCGAGTGGTGACATTCATTCATTCGTTAATGTTCGTTCAGATGGTAAATTGTCAACGTATTAACTCATTCAATCCCAGCCATTTTCACTGGAGCAACCCCCTCAATCCCAGCGTTTTACCGGATTTTGACTGATCTTGCAAGGCCCACAGAATATTTGGTTCTAATGCTATATAAACATGGAGCCTACCAAAATAAAGTTTATCTTTTTCCATTCTTCAGCAGTTGGCATGACAAAATGGATAAGTTTCATGAAAATGGCGATTCCTGGGCAAAAAAAACGGAGAAAAAGAGCTTTTTGTAAAAGCATGCATTTCAAGCACGTGAGGCACCACTGCCGCCTACTGGTCGCTTTTTGACATGATTTACAATGCAAACGACTTAAACTCCTTCACAGATTGGATCAGACCCTCCTCCTCTCTACGACGCAAAAAAAAAGACTTAGACTTACAAGTATGTCCTTGGTAGGCGGGGCCTAATTTTAAAAAGACGTACAAGTACGCCTTGTGGAATGAAAGAGTTAAGGATTGTGTTCTGGTTCTGTGTAGGTTGGTGCAAGTTCATGGAAAAAAAAACGTGTTTGGTATCGAGCGAAATAAAGCAAATCGCAGAAGGGGGAAATAAAGCAAAAAGGCAAATTGGAAATTTGAATTTTGGAAAAAAAAATAGTTGGAGATTTTATTTTAAATCCACTTTGCCGAGCCCTAGTTTTGTTTATGAGGCAAATTTGATGAAATATGAACAAATCAAAACAACCAGTGTTCTACCATGAAGGTATTTCTGAATGTAGAAAGGCAGCGTGTATACCGAGCGCGTGACACCGACAGAAACAAAAACTAACACACACACTTGCTTCATGGACCTGACTTGATGTAGCTATCGTCCCCACTGGCTCCGTCCGCGCACACGTCACGCCAGTCCCCCTCCTCCGCCTGGCCGTCCCCCTCTCGCCTCCCCTCCATCCTCAGTCGGATTTGCCGCTCCCTCACCAGCTCCCAGTTCCTCACCAGGAACACGCGATGTGTCACCACGAAGCTCCTGACCCACATTGGAGCACATCGGCCGGCGAGTGAGCAAACAAGGCGTCGGATAGCTCTGACAAAAATGCGGGTCACTGCTCGAGTGCCGTACCGCTCGTCGCTGCTCAAAGGCTCCATGTCGAGGTGAGGAAAGAGGCTGGCCAAGTCACCCGAGCTCTCCTCCTGAGTGAGGAAAATCCAATACGGATTGAGGTCGCAGCCTATGCGCAGCTTGTCAAACAACTTGTCATTGACTCTCACCGCTGCGCGCCGAGAGGGAAACGTTCTCTCCTTCAGTCGGCCTGCGTGTGAGAGACGTTCACAGTGAGACCCCATTTGAGCGCATTCATCTGAAAACATCAAGTACGTCGTTCTGGAAATACTCACAGTAGCGCCGCTTCCTCTTCAGAGGGAAGGAAGGTTGCCTCTGAAGCTGTTGGGGAAATAACATGTTTACAAATTCAAAGTTGTGTCAGAAATTGTCAACGCTGAGGTGCACAATCAGAATGGAATGACATGAACTGGTGACATCACACAGGCGGTGAACGTAACCCAAATTTGCACCTAAATCGGGAACACAGCGTCTTATTCGAATCGATGCAATAGCGGCGGTCAAGTCATAGTTACTGGAAATATCCATCCGTCCATCCATTTTCTGATCCGCTTGTCCTCACAAGGGTCGCGGGCGTGCTGTTGCCCATCCCAGCCGTCCAGTAGGCGAGGGACACCCTGAACCGGTTGCCAGCCAATCGCAGGGCACACATAGACGGACAACCATTCACGCTCACAATCACATCTCGGGACAATTTAGAGTGTTCCATTAACCTTCCATGCATGTTTTTGGAATGTGGGAAGAAACCAGAGCACCCGGAGAAAACCCACGCAGACCTGCAAACCCCACACAGGAAGGCCGGAGCCAGAATCGAACCCTGCAGCTCCGCACATTGACATGAACGTGCGACCCAGTCGAACACGGTCCCGCCGTTTACTGAAAATATTTGTCTGACAAACACTTCTAGGCTGTAGTGATGAAAACTCCATCCATCCGTTTATTATATTGCTAATCCTCACTTGGGTCGCAGGTAAATCAGAGCCTATCCCAGCTTTAATATAGGCGAGAGGCGGAATACGCCCTGGACTGACCGCCAGTCAATCGCAGTGCACGTATAGACAGACAACCATTGAAAATCACATCTCAGGGCAATTAAGAGTCTTGGATGAACCCAGCGGAATGAAAGAGGTAGAAAACCCAAACGCCAACATTGGAACCCCCAACCTCAGACCGATGAGGCACATGTGCAAACCACTCGTCCAACGGAGATGAAAACAAGCAAATGAAAAAACAGAAGTACGGCGGGAACCGAGCGAACACAATACAGAATTGCGTGTCATTCGTCACCTCAAAACCGCATATGTGGACTGTCGACCTGATCATCCTCAGATACTATACAAATGTTGCCTAAGGGCTGTAATATATTTCGGAAGTGAAATGTTAGTACAGAGAAGAGTAAATCACTCACCGCCCTGGCTGACACTCACATGACACTCTTTGATCAAGTTTAAATCCGTTGCGTCATGACATGGCCATTGCGCAACATTAAAATGACGAGACAAAAATAACCCGAAAGTGCCATCTTCTCTCGTGTGAATGTGGAGAAAAAAAGAACCTGTCACAGATCTATAATTCCCAATAAACTATTGGGTATCAATAAACGCATCTTCATCAATCATGAGACGCCACCGGAATCGTGTCACTGATCTCGCCTTTTGACAATCTTGCAGTAGAAAGCGCCACGCTTTGCTGCCAATGAGTGTTAGCGTTGAGAAATATTACAGCTCAGCAGTCGCAAATGAGCTGCACATTTTGTTCTTTGGATGTAGTTGGAATCCGATGAGAGATGACAAGCCATTCCAGTGTCGAGCAGAAATAACCACAAACCGCAACCCTCTCTTAGATGACGCGCAAAGGCTCCTTTTTTTTTCCTCTGCTGAAATGCCATGCAAATGAGGTCCCGATACATCACGGCACAAGTTTGTTTCCGTGACCTCGCCTGAGATCTTGCGCACAAAAGCCTAATATTTTGGTTCCGGTGAGAGTTAACGTGTTCAAAAAGTCACAGTCGCCACCGGACACCCAAATGAAACATCATGCCAAAAGGCCAGGATTGAAATTTCCTGTTGCGTGTGTGTGTGCGCTGGAGCTGCGTCTTACCTGGTTGTGCTGCCAAAGCCACATGACATCATAGGGCAACTGGAAATGAATCCTCTTCATTCGCAAGTACTTCCCTGTCAGACACAAGCATGAGAGTTTGGATGAATGGTCAGACTGACAGTAAAAGCCCGTCACCTCATCTTGTCCTCCACTTCCTGTCTAGACTCACCGACATGGATGGGCGCTGGTAAAAGGCTGTAATCCCACTCGCCCGCTTTGAAGTCGGCGCTCCCTCTGGAGAGGGGTCGAGATTGGGAAGGAGGACTGAAAGCAAAAGGTGAACAAATGAATCCATTTAATGCATTGTGGGAATTGAAAAGGGTTGGTGCAATTTGGAATTCGGGCAAATTCTGTGAAAAGTTCTGCAATCCGAAATCAAGATTTCACGCAGGACCCGTTTTGTGAGTAGTATTACCGTATTTTCCATACTAAAAGGCGCCCTGGATTATGAGGCGCACCTTCAATGAATGGCCTATTTTGTCATTTTTTTCATACATTGGGCGCACCGCTTTATAAGACGCAATCTACAATGCATCCACTAGATGGAGCTACGCTCAAGGAAACGCCAAGAGAGAGAACGATCAGATGTCAGTAAAACGTGAAACTTAAAGCAGCGACAGTTCACTTAACCAACAGCAAGTTATAACATTGACTAGTTAACGTTGAACTCTCTTGCCGCTGCTCTATTTCTGTGTTCAACTGCGTAACCGATGGCCTGAATTTGGAACTCTGCGTTGTCAGCATGTCTCGAGCAAGGAGCCATTTTGGGGTCGAACTATTACAGTAATGACCATATACAAGGCGCATCGGATTTTACGGTGCGCTGTGAGCTTTTAAAAAAATGGAAGGCTTTTAGGTGCGCCTTTTAGTGCGGAAAACACGGTAATTTGTGGGATTTGAAGGTAAAGGCCACCATCCACAATAGTTTTTATGATGGTGAGCCTTTTGACCCTGGAATGGATTCTTTTCAATGTGAACCAGCGTCCCGTAAAAAATTGTGTTCAATTCGAGGTTTCACGAAATAAATGTCATCTCACACACGAGCGATTGTCTTACTCTGTTGTTTTGTAATCATCAGAGTAAAGACCGGCTCTCAAAAACGTTTTCCTGGGAGGACCGTCTTCACTCTTGTCTCTTTGGACAGCAGCTGGTTGGGATGCGGGCAGCTCGACGGCCGATTCGCCGAGACATTCGGCGGGCGCGTCGCCGCACCCCGTCTCGTCCTCTGCGACACTAAAGGGTAAGCATGAAGCGAGAGATAGAGCGACAGGGAGGAAAAAAAAAAAAAAGAGAAAGAAGAGGCACTGGTTTAGCACACAGTGCTGAAATGTGGCCGGTTAATATGGGAAGATGTTACAGAGCAATGAGAGGCTGAATTGTGAGAGACGAGCGTTTGGGGCCGGGGAGTGTTTTACCTCTGATGACAGGGAGAAGCGTCATGTTTTCTCTTCCGTCCTCGCTTCCTCTTAGCCTGCGGTTCCGAATCCGTCACCCGTTGCACCGAGCTAACGCCCGCTCCATCACAGTCCGACAGCGCTCTCCTTCCTCCGGCATTGCCGTCATGACGGATGCACTCTCGAAGGAGGTCGGGCGACAACACAGGGGGAGGCAAAGTGGAGGGCAGAAGGCGTTTTCGGGGTCGGCCGGGTCTTCTTTTGTTTTTCCCTGCGGCGCTGCGTGTCTCTGGCACACCTTTCAGCTGCCCGCGGCTTCTTGGGTCACCTTGTAAAGCTGCAGTCGGTGTAACGGAGAAGAAAGAGGCGGAGGGAGGGGGGGATATAATAAGTGGCAGGGAGGAAATGAGACAGATGTGGATCAGTGATGAGGCCTGCAGGAGGTGTGAGTTGAGACCACTCTAGGCTGAGTCATGCCGATGGGCCACAGATTAGATGAGTCACAGAATTTCCTCGGCCTTGCGTTACTTCTGGGAAAATGATTTATACGCGCGTGCACACAAACACAGCTCACTGAGGCTTTTCTTCACGTGAACATGTCGCCGGGGCAACATCTACAGCAGCACGATGCGCGTTGAAACTGTTAAATTACAGCTGACATAATTCTCATCTCTAAACACCACCGCAACGGATTTGAAATGAAACAAACAAGATGTGCTTTAACTCCAGACTTTCAGCTTCGATTTTAAAGGGGAAGACAACCCCCAAAATTTTCTTTCGACTAATATGCTCTCTGCGGCCCCACTAGTCAAACTAAACACGACATTCTGATCAACATTGCATTTGTGGAATATGAGTGAAGCAATAAAATACACCTGTTTTGAAAGCGCTACGTAAATAAAGACACGTTGTATCATCCATCTCAGGGGGCGGCCATTTTGCCACTTGCTGTCGACTGAAAATGACATCACAGTTACTTAGGAGGAAAACGACCAATCACTGCTCAGCTCGCGAATGTCACATGACCAAACTCGGAAAACCTTTATTATTGTAAAGAACATTTTTCACTTGATTCCTCCTTTTACATCCAAGTGAGTTGTAGGAATGACAACAATTTGTACAGTATGTTATGAATACCTCCCACTTATTTAGGGGCCAAAAGTTAATGAGACAAATTAGTCACAGCTTCAAGTCTGGAATGCGTGAACATCAAATGCTAAATTTCATTAGTGGTGATGCTCTGCAAGTGTCTTAAGATTCTGCTTGTTTTTGGGACGTTTTCCCGTCAGTTTTAGCTAGCAGGTGAAATGCATGCTCACTCGGATTCAGAACAGTTGATTGACTTGAGCAATGCATAACATTCCACTTCTTTGCCCTAAAAAAACAAAACAAAACCCTCTTTGGTTGCTCACACAGTATGCTTTGGGTCATTGTCCATCTGCACTGTAGAGTGCTGTCCATTCAGTCAGTTCTGAAGCTTTTGGCTGAACATGAGCAGATAATATCACCTGCAGAGCTTCAAAATTCATGCCGATGCTATCATCAGCAGAATCTTCAAATATAAATAAAGGAATTAGTTCCATAGTCTCCCATACCCCCAGAGTGTTGATGTCCCGATATTAATGAACCTGACTGTATTCACACTACATTTAATGATTTCATGACTGCATATTTTTATAAAGCACAATATTTTGTCTTTAAAATACATTACAAACATTCGGGCGAAAAGCCGATTTGAGATGCGTGTGTTTGGAGTGGTGTTTGGAGTGGCAGAGGAATGTCAGTCACTTAATTAAAAACGTATCTCAAGGCACCGCCGCTCAGACCTCTGCGTACATGTGAACGCATTGTTTGCGCAGTTGCCTAATGTGCAAAATATTCCCAAAGGTCTGCCCAGATCGCATGTGCGTGCTTTCATCTCCAAACACACATGCGCTTAGTTTTGATGTCCATGTTCTTTTCTCGACATGTTCCACTCGCACGTTCCGTCCAAGCAACCTCACGCTGACCTGCTAATCCTTCATCAATCACTCTTGAGCTCATCTTTCCTCTTTCTTGCCATTTTTCCACAGCCTCCGACAAGGCTGACCACTCTTTGCTTATTGAATCTCTCCAAGTCAAATAGGCCCTGTCGGCTGGCGGCCCATCCTTAAATAGCCACTCTTGTGGTTTAACTAATGACTGTGCTCTCTGGGTAGCCTTGGGCTCAAACATCGTGCGGTTCGCGACAGCCCCGAGGAAGATTTTCTGGCTGGATCTCATCAAGACACTGTTTTTATGCCATAACACTTTGTGTGTATGTGTGTGTGTGTGTGTGTGTGTGTATGTGTGTGTGTGTGTGTGTGTGGGGGGGGGGGGGGGTTTAAAAAAAAATTCCAACAGAAAGCGGTTGCCGAGCGGTTGTGTGTGTAAAACACATCCGCTGCGTAGCAGCAGAAGGAACCTATAAAAAGACAAGTCTGATCTCGTCTCAATCGGTCGTCAGGCTTTAATGTGTGCCTAAAAACAGTTTTGGAATTAAACAAAAAAAAAAAAAAAAGTCACTTTTTTTTTTTGTTAAACTATGCGCTATCAACTCTATCTCTGTATCACAGAGCTAATAAAAAAATTAACGAACTCAAAGGCCTGTCTATCATTCCATATGGTTGACATGGGATATTTTGGGATCATTTCCCAGATTTCCCATTAAAAGCGATTATTCATTTTTTGTAATCATGTGACCGGAGCCAAGATCAGGGCCACCAAATGCAACATTTAAGATGACATTTCATGGATGTGGTGTGAGAAAGAAAGCCCACAAATGTCTTTTTTATGTTTAAACCACAACGATCATCACATTTGATAGCTGGGCCATACCCGTTCATAATTTAGTCCGGCACGCTGAGGACTAAATGACACCTGCCTGGAAAAAGTTTCCGCACCCTTAATTTAACACCGCGAGGTTGGTTGTTTTAATTGGCGCGGATTTGTTTTTGTGTGACCTCCTGTCTGCCAGGTTTTATGTTTTCATGCGCGCAGCTATTTTCCCAAGAATGTTCACCTTCAAGAATATAATTTAAAAATTGAAGATTAACTTCTGATTCAATGCACATCTCGAGTCGAAACCTCCTGATTGAGGTCACAGTTTTTTACCGGCGAATTTAGCAGCATCTCACCTGTTTCTCTCCTCTGAGTCCAAGCCGACTCGTCCGTCCTCCACGACCTGTCTCCGCTTCCGAGATTCCTACCGGCCAGCCCGCTCCTCAGGCCACGTCCTCCCCCCGTTGCCGCGTCAACCGACGTGAACAGGTTGGTGTGCGTCGCGGATGGAGGCGTCCTGCTCGGGTAGGGGCGGTGAATGTCATCCCTGTCGTTGTCCTCCGGGTCAGAGGGAATCATTGGACCCACGCGTCCGGCGGAAGACCCCCAGCTGGTGTTTGGGAAGGACGCACCCTTTAGTTTGGCCCAACTTTGGCCCAGGGCTCCCCAGCCCCCTCCGAACGACGACAAGTGGGAGGAGCCCAGTCCCAAGGAGAAAAGCGATCCGTGTTTTGATCTCTCTGTCAACGATGACGATGCGGCAGTCGAGAAGGAATTATTTGCATTCTCACGTAACCAAGGTGACTCTTTGGACAGCACGCCCTCCATTCCTCTCGTGCCCTTCCGCCCTCCTCCTTGCCCCAAAATGAACCTTGACTTTGAAGCGGAGAAGGCCTCTCTCGCCACCGCGTCCTCCTGTTCCTCATGCTCCAACGCGGCCTCCCCTTCCGCGTTACGTTCACACCGCCTTTGTCTGTGTTTATGTTTGTGACCGCAGTCGCACGGGAGGCTCGATGCGTAGCCTAAATTGAGGCCTCCTCCGTTGCCTTCAATCTCCCCTCCGAGAGCGCCCTCCCTCAGCAGCCTGCTCCTCTGCCTATGGAACCTGGCGGGGTTAAGGAGGATGTGGGCATGGTGGGGCTGCTGCGAGGCATACTGGTGAGGAGAGGGAAGCGGGTACGAGCCGGGGAGATGGTGGTAAAGTGTTGTGGCCGGTGGGTAGTTACTGTAGAAGCCCATGTTGTCAATTGTTTCCTGGAACTTGGACGGGCATCCGCACTGCCTGCGCTCCGGCTTCCTATTACAATGCAGCGTCTGGCAGGGGTAGAAAGACTGAGAGGAGAAGGAGGGGTTCGCGGCGTAAGATGGAGGGTGAGGAGAATAGAAGCCGTTCAGATTGATCCTGAAAATATTGGAGCGATGAGAATGCGAGGAGTGATGGCGCCTGCCGCCGTCAAACGCCTGGCCCACATCCGACCTGGCCCAACCTCGCCGACCGATGTGGACTTCGCTGAATTGACCGATGAGCTCTTCCAGTTCGGACAGAAACTCTGGATCCTGCATGAGTAGCTGTTGGTGTTTCTTTTTGTGTTTGTTTTTCGGTCTCTTCAGTGCGTTGTGACCAATGAAAGGGTAGTAAGCCGAATGAGTGCACTTGTTATGTCCAGGGCAGGGACACAGGCAATTACAGGAAGAGGGGCAGCCGTAATCCCGCCGCCTGTGCCGATGTCGCTGCCGCTCGACGGAAGCGGAGTTGCCCATCGGATTCTTGTGTCTGGCTATCGGAGGCTCCGCGAGAGAGGAGCGCTTCGGGCCCCCGAGAATGCCCGCAGACCCTTGGCCCAACCTGAGCATGCCTCGAACGCCCCTCATTTCCGCTCGCTCGCAGACGCTGTTGTTATCCGTTCCGATCCCGCTATCGCTGGGCAACGTCTCGTCGCTGTGCGATTCACTCCTGGGCGACGGAGTGGCGTCTTTGAGGTGGCCGGGGGGGCTGGGCGTGGGACGGAGCGGAGCGCCCGCAGAGGAGAGCTTACACGAAGACTGGTGAAAAGGGAAGTGCTGCCTGCCCTGGCACGGGCAACTTTTCTTCACAAAGGGGGAGAGGGAGGAGGAGCAGGACGGGGGACGGGGGGAAGTGCAGGAGGACGACGGTGACGGGAGAGAGAACGGGGGAGGAAAAAGCAGAGCGGATGGCGGTTCGGTGACACTTCCCTCGCTGTAAGGGCTCTGGGCCCCGCTGGAGTGTGTGAGGGACGGGGAGGGAAACGGGTGAGCGGCGGGAGGCTGGGGCTGGTTGGACATGAAGAGAGATGTTTCAGTGGGCTGGCTGAACAAAGACGACGGAGCGTAGGTGTGGGAATTCAGACGAGCCGTTTGGGATTTGGGCTTGCGTCCTCTCCTCTTGCCCATATAGATGGTTCCTCTCTTGCTCACGTTGATCTGAGGGCCCAGCTTGGTCCCAAAGGAGGAGGACAAGTCGGAGAGCGTGGGCACCGTCAGAGCTTCGATCGGCTTGTATGTTTTCGGAGAATGCGCGAAAGCTTTCGCGCTCTCGCTTTCCTTTCCGCCGTTGCCAGACGTCATTACCTTGTGAAGTCTCTTCTTCTTCCTTTTCTTCATCTCGTTAATCAGCCTCCTGATCTTTAGCTGCCTGTTTCCCTTCTCGGGAGGAGGAGAAGAAGGATCTCTGTTCTTATCTGGGACGTCTGTTTTATGAAGCTGTTGTTTGCGAGGACGGCCGCGCTTCTTTGGGCTGGAGTCCAGGACGGGGCTTTTCTGGATGTCGTCAAACTCCAAAAAGGCGACCTCCTCGGGGGAAAGTCTGAGAGGGGATTCGGCAAAGATCATGGTGTGGGATTTGGGTCGGCCTCGTTTTCGGGTTGGGGTGGCGGGGGTTTTGGAAACGGGCTCTTTCGAATCGGATATGGAGAGGTTCTGTTTCGGGGATGATGGTTTTGTTGTCGGCGAGCAAGAGGGAGTCGAGTGAGCGGACAACCTCTGAGAGACACTCTGTTGAGAATCCGTTTCGTGATTTTCCACCCTCTGAGCCCGGTGCACCAGTTTGGTCCAGCTGGGCCTTCTGGCTTTACGTTTTTTCAGCGGTCTGCTGTCCTGCTCTTGGCAGGAAGGCGGCGGCGACAGAGGGGGCGGGGCAGAAGATGACGGCGGATGCTTTGGCGGCGCCGTTGAATACCTGACGACGTCATTGTCCTTTGACTTGGGAGCGCTGTCGGCAGTCGCCGCTTGTAGCTCAGCCTGCTTGATATGATCTCTCACGCTCCCCTCGTCAGATCTTCCTGGGTCTGCCACTTTATACGGGTTATCAAATTTACCCACGGCGCCTGAGCACGTGTCCTCTTTTCTGTGTTTCTCTGGGCTTATCTTGCTTTTCTCAGGCTTTTCTCCGGTCTTCGATTCGTCGCCGCTTTTGTGGTCTTTAGCCTGTTGCAATTTGCCGTCCTTTCCTTTGTCTTTTTTCTTCTTTTTGATTTCCTCCTTTCGATGATCACTCTTAACTCTCGCCGCTTCCAGCCCATCTCCCTTCGGCTTTCGTTCTTTTCGTTTGTCTTTCTTTACCTTCCGCTCTTTAGCTCTCTTTTTGTCATTGGAGCGCTTTAGCGAAGCTTCCTGAACTTGGGACTGTGCAGGAGACGCATCCAGAGCGGGGGAGGATTTTGATTTATCGGTAACCGAGGGGGAGTTATTCTTCTGCGCCAAGCAAATCTCTGTTTTAGAAGAACCCGGAGGTGTGGCGTCCGCAGCGGGAACGGAGCTGCTGTGTTTTGCAGTTTTGATGGATAGGGCATCTCGCAGTTTATCTTCAGAGCATCTCCCGTTCAAAAGTCCTTTCTTGGACTGCACCGCGCCGTTGTGTTTCTTGAGGATTTCCCTTCCGGGCAGTGTTTCGGTGCACGGCCTGGAGAGGGTCGCTGAAGCTTCCTGGTGGTTGGCGGACGAGCAAGGTTTGAGCACTCCGGGGAACGGCTTCTCGTGGTTGCCTGGACTCTTTTCTTTCTTCCCTCGCTCCAACGAAGCGGCAGGAGTCACGTCTGTGTTACCCGCCAGTTTGAGAGGAACCTGGGGAGAATTAACACGCAATCTCTGTCATGCAGCGCAATGACGGGCAGATCAAATATGTCTGCCGTTGACAACAGTTTAACTGTCAACAGTGATGGGGGGGGAGACAATAACAGAAATGCTTTTGTTTTTGTCCGCCCATTAAAGTCCAGACCGAGGACAAAGTGACTCAATCAGGCAGAGAAAGGAGGGCGCGGGGAGCGAGGTGACGGAAACGGGAACGGAGGGGGGGCGGTGACACAGAAAGACACAACGCCAGAGACGGAGGAAGAGGGTGCTATGGGGGACAGAAAGGGAGTGAAAGATAAATGAGAGCAGGTAGAGAAACGAGGGGACGTAAAAATAGAAGAGAGGGACCAATATAGCGTGTCGGCCAGCGAGAGAAAGCGGCGCGATTGGTCGCTATAAATTGCCACTAATACAGATGAGGAGACCTGACATTTTGTACTTGTCCTTTAATTTTGGTAGGCGGCGGCTTGAGTGGCGTTTGTGCAGCTAAAGCAATAAGCTTCCCCTCAGGCCATCGTCAGAAGGACTGATGGACCAATGCCTGTAATGGCCAAGTGGTTGCTGTGCCGCTGTCCTATTTATAGGTCCTGTTTTGTTAAATATGCTGCTTGCTTATCACTATTGAGACAATTGCTCATTTGACCTTATGATGGCGCGCCACATAGCCGAGTGATGTGAGCATGCCCGGTGGTTAGCAAAAAAAAAAAAAAAAAAAAACAACAACAACGAAAAACATCGCACAGCTACTGTGCATAAGTGCAATTAATAATGTATGAGGACACATTTGGAACTTGCTTCCGCTAACAATCCATCCATCCATTTTTCTGTACCGCTTAATCCTTTGAAGGACAAACCGTCATTCCCTTAGAAAAGACGGAAGCTCTCTATGGGCTGAAATATAATGCAAAGAGGGAGACTTCAAAACATCGACAACATGCAGCACCGCGGCCCTCGAGGACTGGAGTTGCCCACCCATGATGTAGGCTGTCTCTGACATCACCTTCTTTCGACCGTAAAATCGTGAGACTGACTAGCTATGTAGTCCACTCCATTTTGATGCAAAGGCTTTAAGACAGGGGTGTCAAACATACGGCCTGCGGGCCGGAACCGGCCCCCAAGGAGGTTCAATCTAGCCCGCGGGATCATTTAAAAGTGAAAAAAAACATATTAAAGACACAGAATGAATATTTTTAATAAAATGCAATTCGTGGATTATCCGCTAGGGGCAGACCGTTTTGATCAGAGTAGAAGACAACATTGTTTTGATCAGAGAAGAAAACAGCAGTCTCAATCTGTCCCTGAGACAGACCCAACACAGCAGACGCTATCAATGCGCCAATGCTTCTTTATACCAAAACAAAGGAAAGACATTTTGGTTATTTATAGCAGAGTATGGTATAATGTTAATGGTCCGGCCCACTTGACATCTACCAAGTCCGTATGTGACCCACAATGTGAAATAAGTTTGACACCCCTGCTTTAAGATATCCTGAATCAACAATTGAGAGAATTGGAGGATTGTCCGTCCTAAATCCCCAGCCTCCCCAAAAATGTAACTCTTCTCAACAAGCTGCACATTTTGTTTTGTTTTTTTTTCTTTCAAACGCGTTGCGAAATGCCGCTACGACTTTATACTTGCTATTAAAACAGGCGGGGGCTGTTTTGATGCTTGTTACCCGGCATTCATACACTATCATCGTTTGTGATGCCAGCAGCTGACGGGCTTGTGTGTGTATGCCCTTCGTAGAGACGAGCCTACAGAGAATCATCACCCGTCTCTGTGGCTCCCATCAGCTTTACTGAGATTTAATAGTGAGTTACAGCTCATTGTTTTTCCTCTAGCGACAACACTTTTATTGTCCCCCGCTCGCATGGTGCAGTTTTAACAGCCCTGCCTCCGTGCTGAAGAGACACATGAATGAATGTGTCCCAATGAATGCTGGAAGCGTAAACGAGCAACAGTTTGCACCTAAGGTTAGAATATCGTAAGGAGAAAAGGATTTTGTTTGCAGTTTGTTGATGTCATTACAGGAGGTTGAACTCACCTGTTTGGTCCCTGGGTTCGCGATGGCTGAGGCTACGGTGGAAAGAGTCACATTTGCTGGTGTTAAAGACTGTGCGGCTGCTGCTGATGATGATGATGATGATGGTGTTGATAATGATTGCAAAGCGGCAGATGCCGTTTGTTTACACGCAATCTGGACGCCATCTGAACCCGAGCGGTTTTCCCTGCTCGCGTCGTCCGCATCGGTTGCGGTCCTGGTGGGCAGGGCGCCCCCTCGACCCTGCTGCCTCTGATAGGTTCTGATGGTGGGCTTGCAGACGTAGCTCTCCAAGATCTTGGGCGGCTTCTTGGTGCGCTTGGCTTGCACGCCGATGCGGAGTCGCACGTTCCCGTCAGGGCAGCTGGTCTCTCTGCCACATAACTGAAGCTGCTGCTGCCCCGCGCCCCCACAACGACCCTCGATGAGCAACTCCAGCACCGCCCCCTTGTCCCCTTCCCTCTTCTTCCCTCGCCTGTCCTCCTTCTTCCCCGCGTCCAAATCCTCTGTCTCCACACGCTTTCTTTTCCCCTGGTCCTGCTCAAAGTCCTCAGTTACTGGGGAGGCATCCAGCGTGGAGTCCGTCATTCGAGGGGTGCCCCCCTTCATTCTCTGATCCATCAGAGAAGTCAGGGGGGAGGAGAAGAGGACTGAATAGTTCCCAGTATACCACTGAAGGAGTTTTCCTGCAGGTGGAGGTGAGGTTTTGAAGAAAGAAAAAAAAAAAACACTCAGTTGAGCTCGTTCATCCGGGAAAGAAAGATCTTGTCCTTTGGGCTTGAGCTGACAAAACGCCTGTTAAGACAGCGAGAGAGGAAAATAGAATCCAGTCATTAGTCACTTCAGTGAGCACAGATGCTGAGCAGCAGCAGCAGCAGAAGCAGCAGCAGCAGCACAGGAATGGGGAGGAAAGTCCCCTTCCAAGGGGGCAGCTGCGGAGAGGCGCTACAGTGTGCGTCCATAGAGATGATCTCATCACACAGAAAACCCGGGGGTCTAATCAACACGGCCCGAGTCCCAGAATGCCTGCACTCAACTGACTGGAAGCGAGACTTAGTCACATCATTGAAAAACAGTGAACGGAGAACTTACGGCTGCGAAAAACTTTCACTTTTAAGCCCCTCGATATCAGACACCTCGTTGATTCTAACCCAAGCTGCCGCCATCTTTGCGCCTTCTGCTCTCAGCGACTCCTTCTTCCCTTCCTGGCGCTGGGCTGTACTTTCTTTTCTCTCTGAAAAAACTCCCCGTCTCATTTTTGGCAGCAAGCTTTCGCATGCATTCTCTATTAGCCCCCTCCCCTCTCTCTTTCTCGCTCTCTAGCTCACTCTCTCGCTCCGAGTAGACCGCACCGCTGAATGGTCCACTCGAACACTATATTCCTGTTAATCACAACCATATTTCCTCCTCCACTTTATCCTTTTCCTTCTTTTCTACCTAAATCCCTCCATTCACGATGCTCGACAACCCTCCTCCCCTCCTTCCCTCTCAGTCATGGTAACACCGCGTCGGGAAAAGGGGGGAAACTTATTTTTGGAAAGGAGCGCAAATTCCTTCTCCTCCCATTGCTTCCTCTGAGTCAAGTAAGCTTTTCATTGACCCCATTGTAAATGGACGTCTAATGTGACATTACAGCTAGTAACACGCCCTAAAACAACATTCTCCCCACCAAAACAAACTCGCTCTTGGTTCAGCCCAAATGAGGACCCCGGGCACAGCAAATGGACCCAGCCTTTGACCGTCCTTCATAACGTTCACGCTCGCCATCAAGGGAGGCATTCATTTCACAATTAAAAAAAAAAAAAACACACCTTGCAAAGCATTCTTGCGCCTCTTATGACATCCACTCGGGAGCATTCTAGATGTTTTCATTTAGAAACACCCCCACAAGTGCCCCCCCCCCCCCCACCCCCCCACACACACACAACCCCCAAAAAACGCATTCGCTCAAATCAGACAGAGGAGCTCAAATCAACATCAGTTCCAGTAAGAGACGTTACGTAAGACCGCTGGAGAGTATTTCCGCCACCAAACCCTGCTGTGAAATTTGAATAAAGTACGCTGTTAAGCATTTTCATTAACGACCTTCTCGTAAATCAGGAAGAAGTACATTATTCGTGGTGATTTTGGACCGAGCCTTGCCGTAAATCACGAAGAAAGGCAAAGTCATTGACAGTAACCGTTATAAAATGTTTCGAATTACCGATATTAATTGTTGAAAACGTAAAAAGCAGCGGTGGGCGAATACCGATACAAGGTAATTGTATCGGGCTGATACAGGCTTTATTTCAAGGTATTGGGTACTCATGAAGAATGCCGATATCAGGCACTAATACTTGAAGAAAAAAAACTCTGACGTTGAACACCTTTTCCATGGCAGTCGTTGGAGCTACACATCAGTGAATCATACTGGTATCGGTCTGAAAAAAAGTGGTATCGAACATTCCCAGTAAAAATGGTATACCACAAACCTCCTTGACTCCAATTGCTACTTTCCTATGAGCCCAGACTTTGGTGTCATCTTGTGGCATTGTACAGCATTACAAGAAAGCACACCAAAATATACTGATTTTCAAACTCAATTTTTTAAAATGCCTTTTACAGTACCGGTACACTTAAAAAAAAAGTGAAAAGTTGCCAATGCGGTCGTTTATTGAACCCCAGGAGAAAAGTAAAACCCATAAACACAATGAGCCCACTCTTACGGTATACGTAAGCGTGGCGGGTCCTTCAACTTAAGGGAAGCCCATTCCGCATGCATATAAACAGTCTTTTATACTCTATGAACTATCCCGCCCAAACATAACTCTAAACTATCGCAACGTTGGACCAGCAGCTATTTCCCATGACAGGATGATGGGTGGACCTGACACACAGAGTGAGCTCGGGCTCCTCAGCAGCGCTGAGGCGACGATTAAATCATGATAATGGCCCCCGCCGTCTTTCCGGCATCCAATGGCGGCGGCAACGTTATCATCAATAACTGCGAGCATCTGCCTGACAACAGCACCAGCGCGGGAGCTCAGCTGGATGTCAGGAATGGATGTGGTGTGAAGAAGCCTCGGGCGCCTCACCGACGCATGCAAGTTGAGCACGAGAATCAGAAAAAGGGAGACAACAAGACTGCATTTCCATATCACGCATGGCTAGTTTGTCGATTCCTTTGGAATTTGTAAAAGTGTCTGTGGAATAAAAAAAGCCGTTCTCAAACTGGGATCCTTGGGCCCCCAGGTGCCGCCAGCTGTAGCTTGGGAGTCCACAAAATATTGTGAAATCAATTTGGACGTTGTATCACTAAACAAAATATGCCGACTGTCAGTCAGCTAAACAAACATAATAAATCAATTACTTTTCCCTACCTTACCTTCAGGCTAATTACAGGATGTGATCGTGCAGGTTTCAAAATTTGGCATGCACACAGCACTTTTAAGCTAGCAATGACGGACACATATTTAATTTGATTTGATCAACTTCATTTTCTATTCAACAGGTAATGAATATTTAGGTGTTGAAATTGTCTCAGTGAATGTTCTGAAGGGTGGCCCAGTGTTCCACTGGTTAACGCGTCGACTTCACAGTGCAGAGGTCGTGGGTTCGATCCAGGCTCTGGCCTTCCTGTGTGGAGTTTGCATGTAATCCCCGGGCCTGCGTGGGTTTTCTCCGGGTACTCCGGTTTCCTCCCACATTCCAAAAGGTAAAATATTCATGTGCAGGGGGGGGTCCTCAGTTTACGACTGTACTGACAACATTCTGAAGTTCGTGAAGTAGCTTGCAAAAGCGGCTTAAGAATGTGTCGTCACCGAGCACAAGAAGACACACTCACTTTGCAGCCTACTCACTGTTTATTATTTGGTCGTTCAATATTTACAGCTTGAAAGTGTTTTTTAATGCAAATATTTACAGCGATTATAATTTCCGTGTAAATTAGGGTTAGGTGGTAGCCGTAAAAAAGGGAAATCCATTGTAAAAATGAGGCCCTCTCCGTAGTTCAGATGCTAACAGCACTTAAGACAGAATCTAAAAGAGGCAGGTATGTTCCCAGAGTTGTAAACGTCAAGTGTACAAAAGTGGAACCTTTACCATACCAACCCAGTGACAAGCCACTGTAGCAACATTAGTGTACCTCGTGGGCTTAATTGTTGGATTCAAATGCACTTTTCTCAGAGCCAAAAGGTCATAGGTACCATAAATCTACATTCAAGTCACCCCCATAAATCTCTTTTATAGGCCCCCAATGTAACTAAGGCTGGATTTCCATTGCATGGACACAATTCCGATTTTTATTTTCTCTCATTTGGAACAATTGGGTTTGTGCGTCATGGCAGCACGACTAGGGAAAAAAATTGTGTGGAATCAGCGATCTTCAGATTGAATCAGCCCTCTTCTGAAAAGGGATGAAATCTATCATATATCTGATAACTGCCAATGCAGGTGCGGCATATAAACTCACCGACCGGATATACACCGTCAATACAAGCCCGACGTCATCAGAGTACATCGAGTGATCTCGCATAATTGCCCATGTTTGCTCATACATCACATTCACAAACACCAGCTGCAAATCAAAACTACAAGGAAAGCAAAGACAATTGAATACGGTCTAAACTACAATCTGCAGACATCAAACATGGTCTAAATGTGCTTTATTAAAAGTGATGAGACATTAAAGATGATATAAATATGCAAGATTGGACGTAAGTCCGTCATTTACATAATTGCTGACAGTTGCCAATCGCAGGGCACACACGGGCGTACAACCATTCGCGCTCACACTAGCACCGAGGGACAATTTAGAGTGTTCAACGCGGCCATATATAACCTTTATTTATTATTAGTATTATTTTTTTTAATGTATTGTTTACATTTGTGTTGACATTTGCGGAGTTATTAATGTACATTTTGAAGCATGCATGCTTTTTTAATTTGCTCTGCCGGTGTAAACAAACAAACAAATAAATAAATAACAGGTGATGCATATTTAGAAGCAAAAATGGTTTCTTCCACCTTCTCCTCTGCGTCAAGGTCCACATTGTGAACATTAATGATCTCCAATTAATTGCTTTAAAAATTTTCATCCGACGACAGAAGGGTTTTGGTTCTGAATGTAGGCTGCTGTTCAGTGCAGGGGCAGCCCTATTCTAATGGTATGCAGGAAATTGTGAACATTAATGATCTCCAATTAATTGCTTAAAAAATTTTAATTCGACTACAGTAGGGTTTTGGTTCTGAATGTAGGCTGTTGTTCAAGTGCAGGGGCAGCCCTATTCTAATGGTATGCAGGACCGTGTCCACCCCAATATCTTGAAAAATTCCAATCTATTTTGCCTTATCAAATTATATAAACAGCATTTTTGAAAGAAATGGAATCTGGAAACATACAATTGCTTGATTAACTGATTTTGGCGTGTTGAATAAATTCAAGTCGAAAAACTTTGGCCCTGGCATCCTTTGATTTTTCTGCATGTGGTTCAGGGAGATACACAGTTATTCTCTTTGTTTTATGTTTAGTTTGACAGTAAACTTAAAATTTAAGTGCCATTAAACAGATTGAAGTCTTTTTGGGGAATTGTTCATTATCTGCCAAATGGCTGCTTGTTGTGAAGCGAGGTGAGTGAAGTTGTTCCATTTGAGTATCTTAAGTCAAAGCAAATAAATCATTCAAACACAGCTCATCAAAGGGGGATCAGTGTCATAGTAACAAAACGTATTTTTCTGAGTACAGATAAAGTGCATGCCTACAGTATTGTACTGGTATCGCTTTTGATCCATCCTTACTAAAAACTAACCTGGGACCTGTTTTAGTTCCCGAGCCTCAGTTTCAGAACCCCGAACACCATATAGAACCAATCGATCAACCACTCTATCAACGAAGGTACCATCCTCTACTTGTAGTCTGAATGTGACACGCACAATGGTGTGTCCTTGTGAGTGTGTCAGGCGTACATTGTGTACCCAGATGGCAGCTGCGTAGGCTCGCTGACATTTCCACTGGAGCTACTTCCAGTATAGGCAGCGGGGGTGTTGCCGCACTATCCTGTCAGTGTCACAAGAGAGCGTCCACGCACAAAAATCACAACACATCACGGCTGACTGGCACTTAACAACAACACACACACACGTGTTGTTTTAATGCCAACACTGTACACACACGTACACGCACATACGCACACGCACACGGAAGTGAGAGCTGAAATGCGCCACCTTGTTGTTTTTCTCCCCTCCTCTCACTGGCGGGAAAAGACATCAGCGTGCACACGCAGGACACACTCGGCAACAAGGGATAAAATTAGCGCAAAGTGTACACTAGCAACGCTGCGTGGCGCTAACAGGCCCACGCATCTTAGCCGTGACAATCCGGAATCAAAAGCTACGCAGGCTACTTACCTACCAACCCCTAAAAAGGAGCGAGCGCGTCCCGGAGCAAACTGCGTTGACGACGCGGGAGGTGAAGGTGTTGCTGTCCGGATCCTTTCCCGCCTCCGTCGTACCGTGCAATGCCGCCACCTCCGCCCACCCGTGTGACGATTCACTGCTCTCCTTGCGTGAATGACGTGGCGTGGATCAGACGAGTAAAAAAGGTTATAAAAACACAGCACCAGCGGAGCGAGCTTTAGTACATTGGCGGGAGTGTTTTCATAATCGTACAGTAGGCAGTTCTCAGTTCGCCGTTAGGGGGCGCGCTAGTTGCTCTCAGCTCTAATACTGTGGTCTTATTTTTTCTTAGTCATTTCCCGTGCTGACAAAGTTGCGTCGTTTCCCGCCAGTCGGGATGAGTCGCGTTGTGTCCCATAGGCCGCGAACGCCTCACCACCTTGTACATGTGTCAGAGAGGAGGGGGTGGGTGATTGTGGCCGTAGG